ACACAGAGTTATACTCGGACAATATTGTGGGTGAGTAAGCCTCGGGGATAGGATGGTAAACAAGTCCCTCGAGATGTCAGCCGCAGAAGAGGGAAGAAGGAGCAGGAGGAAGAGGCTGAGGAAGGAGAGCTGTCCCCAGCAAACTCCCCAATTTATAGTGAATGTGATGGGTTTGGTATGAATAGGATTAATTGGGCAGCCTGGGGGGGCACCTTGGGGTTGACTCCCCTAGGTTTCCGCTCCCCCCAGCTTCTGCAACTGTTTTATCTCAAGACCTTAAAGACCTTGAGCACTGGGCAACCTGCAGACCAGTATTGGCTGAAACCTGTAACAAAGTTTTTATCAGCTTTGTTCCCATCAAATAGATTCTTCTAGTCTTTATAAAAATTGCAGTTTTCCTCAACAGAGAACTGACCCTAAAATTCTGTCCTGCTAAACCAGGACAGCATCCTCGTCTTCAGGTGCTGCCTGCAGGCTGGCACACTGAGGTTGTCAACTGTGCAACTTAAAAGGGAGAAATTTGCTTGCTGTACCTTCCCCCCTCCTTTCTGGATCCCCCCTTGCTGTGCTTGTGATCAGAAGGCAGCTCTTGGCAAAACGCTGCGAGTCTCTGTGCCGCACACCTCGGCCCTCCTGGGAGCTGGCTGCTGGGAGCCAGGGATAGCGGCTGTGCAAAAATGGCATCGGGTGTCCCCAGCCTGGGGTGGGCATCTGGGGAGCAGTGGTTTCTGCATGTCAGATGTGCCGTAACTCATGTGGGAAGGTGATCCAAAGTCCTCTGCCTCTCCCCCACCAAGAGTTTCAGCCTTAAGGTGGAGGCGGGGAGAGAAGAATGATGGAGGGGTGTCAGCAGCAGGGAGCGACCTGGGGGCAAGGGGAGGAGGGCATGAAACAGAGAAAATGAGACTGAGGAGTACAGACAAATAATGTAGATGTGCCATGAGCTGGCCACAGGGATGTGCCAAAGTGTGGTGTGGATGGCAGCAAGATGACGTCAAAATGCTGCTTGCCATTTTACATCCCGAGTTTAAGAAAGGTGGTTGTTTTCTTGATGCTCAGAGGAGATTTTGAACACTCTCAGTCAATGTGGGAGCAAGGGTATAGGAGATAAAGGTTCCTTCATAGTCTTGAGACACCCCTCCCAGGTAACCAGTGTATGGAAAGGTTTGATAGTGCTGTTAATATGTTTAAAACTTTGCTAATAAAACCATCACCAAATTCAGAATAACAGGGTAAATCCTCTTCTTTTTCATCCCTCTTGCTGTTAAAGCCAGAGCTGGGCAAAATAATTCACCACAAACATAGGAATTTGTGTATGGTGAGGTGGTGCGACATTCGGTGGAACTGATCTGATCAGGGATGTTGAAATGAGAAATATTGGGGTTTGGTATTTCTAAAATATTTCCGTTGTCAGTGGATTTCAGTTTAATTATTATCATTAAGTATTGTGCAAGCCTCAGGATGTTTCAGTCCAGGGTTGAACTGAGCAGCTCTCTGGGGGTTTGTTTTTAGTTTTGGCTGTGTTGGAAAAGCTGTGAATGTTTGTCCCAAACAACTGAGAAAAACATTGTTCAGGGTTTTTTTTTCCCAGAAAAAGCAAATATTCACTTTGTTCGCACAACTACGGCCCTGAGCTAAATAAAACTTTGTCCAATATGATGATCTCTTTTGAGAAATGAACTGAAAATAGCTAGGAAAAGAAAAACCAAACAGAATACCGTAAGACTCCAGTCTCGCTTTGAAGACTTTGCTGGTTTCTTTCACAATCTCATTATTTATTCTTAAATAGAAGTCTTGTTTCAGAAGCAAGCAGATATTTTGTCTTTAAAAGGTCATAAAAATATCTCTGTGTTAGAACAGATTGGGTGGATGACGCTTACAGTGATGTGCCCAAGCAGCATGAAGCCATCCTTGCATACCTTGGCTATGCATTACAAACGCAGTACATAAAACTGAGAGTGAGATAACGTTAAAATACAGCTTTCCCCCCAGATACTGGCATGATTAATGCTCTGCTGGTTCTTACAGCAACTCCCGCACTGAACCATGTAGAGCAGAAACAGTGTTTTCTGTTTCTGAAGTAGTGTATAGCAATAACAAGGAGGGAGGGGAGGAAGCAACTTGTCTCTTGTACAAAGCCATACCCTGGGCTGCCCTGCTGATGCTGAGCCCCAGCAGGTGATTCTCACACCTAGCCCAATGTTTATCACGGTTAAAACCCCTGTAGTCATCTTCATGTCCCCAACCGATGAAAAAGTCCATTTTTTTTTTGTTAGAACATGAACAAATAACCCCTGCCTCTTCCTTTGTTTTGTCCCTTCCTCCAAGCTTATGGCCACAAATCTCCCGAGACAGGTCAAGGCACACGGCAGTAGGAGAAAAGAGGCAGGCTGTGGTTTTAGGGTGCAGGGCTGTGCCTCAGCCGAGCCATTGGTGGGGCAGATCAGCAAGGCACCATTGGCAGGAGAGCCGGTGTAACAAGGATTTAAATGCGCTGCTTGTAAAAACACCGTCATGTTCTTGATTTGTGTCTCACTGGGACACGGAGCCTGGCTCTGCATGGTCCCAGTCTGTGCTGCTCATATGGAACTACGCCGTGCTGTGCTACAGCTGCTCCTTCTCTGGCCAGCAGCACCATAGGCACAAGGGGCTGGCACCTGGGGCTGGGTGATGCTAAATGCTGTAACTTGCACCTACCCCAGGTGTTCCCTGAGTGGGCTGCTCTACCCCAGAGCTTCTGCAGAAACGCAGCGTGCAGGAGCACCACAGTGTTTCCAGGACTTGGATTTCTCTTTTTGGGTTGCAAAGTTGGAGGCATGGTAAGAAACCAGCCTGCTTCATTAAGGATTTTTAGTGTTAACGCCAGAGATTTTCTTTACCAGCTAATCCTGGCTCTGCTCCGAGCTGCTTCAGCATATGCCAGAGCACCAGCTGCCTGGCCAGGAGGCAAATGTACATTTGGAGAGCAATTTATGGTGTAGGACCAAAGCTGATGCATCAGCCCAAAGAGATGGTCACACTTGTGGTGGCAAAGGGATCAAGAGTGGGCTTTTTTTTTAAAGAGGTAGCATTAAGTTAAACTGCATTGATCGTTCTTTCACCTGTGCAATCCCTTGAGGCTTCACACTATCAGCAACAGCGAGGTGGTTTGTTTCATTGCTCACTGGTTTTGGGGCTTATTCTCTAGCATATGGGATCCCCTCATGGGAACCCCTCCCTTAGTGCAGTCCTTAAGTGCTGGCAACCTGAAACTTCTTATAATTGATGTTTAGGGGATTTCTGAATTGCAGATTTGTTTGAACATCCTATATTTAGGATCTGGTCTTTGCTGGGTGGCAATCAGTCTGTGCAAGTGGGACCCTATCAGGACTGACCAGTCAAACTAGCAAACTGGTTTTCTTTTTGAAGCCTGCCTTCAAAATGCTGGACTTTGGGGATATTGATCTTCCTGTGTTCCAGCAGCTCTCTGCAGAGAGACAGAAAACTTCTAGGTAAAGTACATTGTGAGACTGATGTACATGACATCAGCAAACTGAGGGGCAGGAAGAAATGATGTATCTTTCTGCCGTATCAGTTGTGTACATTGTTTGTGTATTTCCTGATAGAAATGCTACTTGCAAAGTCCTGTTTTCCCTCCTGCCTCCCCACAATTAGCAATTAGCAGTCTAAAATATCCACTCTTCCCATCTGCCAGTAGGAAGCGTGTGATCTATCACCTCCAGGACTCAGCTGGCCAAATGGCCTGGATCAATTTGTACCTGCCTAACTCTTCCCAAGAAGGTATGGAAAACAAATTGAAGAGAAATAGGACTGGCTATGCCTCTGCCTGTACTAGAGTCAGCCAGGACCATCTTTCCAACCCTTCTCTGAGCTCTGGCAGCCTTTGCCTCTAGGATTTGGTGTGGAAATGGCAGCTCCCTTTCTCAATGGCCTGCACTGGGTGGACTGGTAGGACCAGGTGGGAGATGCGGCTCCACAGCCCACTTAGCTTGTCAGAGTCCATGTGGTCGTAGGAGCTAGGGGTCCTGGTGTTGGTGAACTTGGCCCAGAGGAAGTCACGGACCCTCTCTTCCACCTGCTGGAGGCTCATCTGGGTCTCCAGTGTCTCCTCCTCCAGCAGCACGGTCAGCAGCAGGGCCACATCCTTGAAAGCAGCACTTTCGTGGTCGCAGTATTTGTAGAAGATGAGGGTGGCCTCTGCCGGCAGCAACTCGAAGCGGTGTATCACCGCAGCACGACCTCCAGCCCGGAAAGCTGAGCTCAGCTCTGAGTCCACCTCCAGCTTGGCCTGATCACTCTGAAGCCTGGATTTACCCATGCCATCGATCTGGACTGTGCTGGCGTGCAGGGCGGCTGAGTAGGTGTCAGCCACCTGGGCGCTAAGGCATCGCAAGGTCTGCTCAGCCTTGTGGGCAGCCGTGAAGATGATGATGGCTGGCTGCGTGTGGTGGGACGCGTTGAGGTGCTTTTGCAGGAACTTGCGCCCGCGAAGCCACAGGTGGCCACTCTGCCCCGGAAACCTGTCCTGCAGCTGGTTGAACTGGGACAGGAAGGCCTCCACTGTGGGGTTCTTGGAGGCTTGCTGGAACTTGGAGGTCGGGTTGCCGAAGCAGAATAGGCAGAAGCAGAGCAGTACAGTGACAACGACGGCAAGCCCTGTTAAACAGAGGAGAGACTCGAGATGAGGAAGAGAAATCAGTCCCAAGTGACCTCAGTGATATACTGCAAAGTAGCTACAAGGGCTCTTTTTTCTCCTTCCAGCCCTTACCCACCACCCCAGGAAAGCAGTTCAGGTTGGCACGCTCCCTGGGGGCCCAGGAATGGTGAAGAGGCTTCTTGCCCCATGTTGTGAGACCTATGCTCCTACACACTAGCTCGGGGGCGATGTGCTACAGTTTCAGAGATGGAGGCTAAGCTAAAACTTCGTTGTCGCACTGCCAAATTTCCTGAGGAAGTTGCAGCTGGCAACAAGCTTTCTTCTCTTCCCCCCTCCTCCGTTTTCTTTTAGGTTTGTGGCTGTTCAGAGCACCTACCTCCACATATGGAGGTGTCTGACCCAGCTAAGGCGTCCTGTTCACCACTTCTTCCTAGCTATGCTGGCTGAACAAAGGCTGCCATGCTTGTGCCCAGAAAAGGAGGACAGCGAGGTACAGACACAACTGCTTGTGTCCCTCTCCATGGCAAAGCAGGGTCTCTTTCTACCAGGAGAAACACCAGCATCACGGTTCCTGACTGGGGCCCCATGACACAGAGCGGGACTGGGAAGGAGAACCATCAGTGTAGAAGCCTCAGACCTGCCAGGACGTGCCAGGGTGCTCCTAGCACGCTGAACATGTTGCTTTTAAGGCGTAGGGAAATCTGTTACTGTAGCTTCAAACTGAGCCTATTTTTTAAGGGGATACTTTTTCCCTCAAACCCTCAGAAAAGGCTGTGAAAAGTCCTGAGAGAGAAGAATAATTAAATGTGCTTCATTACTTGTTCCTGGAGAATCAGTGCCTTCTAGTCGATGAGCAGTGCACAAGGGAAGCTCCTTTTCCTCACCTTTCAGCCAGAGGGACTTTTTGGCCTTCTCAGGGTCTGTATTTTGGGTGGTGATGTTCTGCAAGCAGGACTGAGCCTCTGGCTTTGGGGCTGTGTGCCCTACAGTAAAAGAAAGAAATGAGCCATTCAGTGTTGAGGGAACAGGTAAGTTGGGCTGTAATTAAAAAAAAAAGCAACA